ATTTTTAAGATGTTTTGCAGGGAGAAAAATGGTGTTGATGCCCATTAAAAATAAAAATCAGGAACCAGGCTATGACACAAGGTTGTGGAAAAATTAGGCAAACCCATAACACTTGGGTTGGAATAAAGAATTGGGCCAAGCAAGCTTTGGGCCCAATTCAGACGCAGCAATTAAAATCAAGGGGATCTAAAGCAAGCCCAACGGTAATATAATCAGAAGCTGCCACATCACCCCTGATGTTGTAACAATGCAACAGTCAAAAATTCAAGACAGGGATGAAACGACACAGCTGTCAGAATCTTGATGCAGCACCGTCCAAATTCATCCATCAATAAACAGTGAACCGTTGTGACCCCTTGTGCATTTTCAACCCAATATAAGCCAGGTCCCATATTTTCTACCTTCATTATCGTGTGTTCAATTTTCTGAGTAAAAATTTCTCCTTTCCAACTTCATCTCCAAGAACATTCTTGCAAGAACTCAAGCCACAGCAAAGGCTTGAGTTTGGAGTCCCCCAATCTTTTTTTTTTCTTTCTTTCACCCGAGGCAACCAAACTGAGTTTGGAGTGGAGCAATGGAGACCCCAAGCACCCGAAGTGGAAAAATTAGGGCAAGATCTAGTGGGAGCAGCTCTCAATCAGAACCGGTCCCCTCTTTCTCCACCGAGCGAGCAATGCAAAGGCATGAGATCATGCTCAAGCGGATACCTTCACCAGACAAGGGCTTTGTCAAGTAATCTCTTGACTCTAATACATGAGCAAGATGGTGTACTCCCTATCGTCCGAGAGTTCTATGCCAACATGCCCCAAGGAATACCTTCGAAGGTGGAAGTGAGAGGGAAGATTGTACCATTCAGTGCTGCAGCCATCAGAAAGATTTATAATCTGCCCAAGGTTGTAGATGATTTTTATGATTGGAAGAATACATCCGAACAAGAAAAGTTACAAGAAGTGTTGGAAGAATGCTGTAGGACAGGGACCGAGTGGACCGTGACACCCTAACAGCATATGTCCTTTTCAAGAACCACACTCAAGCCCGAAGCTAGAGTGTGGTATCATTTTCTGAAAAATAGACTGATGCCCACGTCTCACACTGAGACGGTATCAAAGGATAGAGCAGTCCTGCTCTGTTGTCTGTTGGATGGAAGGCCTGTTGACGTAGGCCGAATTATTCATTCTGAAATCTTGGCCTGTGCCAAAGCTGATAGTGGTTATTTGTGGTTTCCAGGTTTAATAACTCGTTTATGCAGGGAAGCCAAAGTGTCAATTGGAGAGGAAGAGGAGAAAATCAAAATGAATGGAGAAATTTCCCCTGCTGCTGCAAAGAGAATACCAAAGAAGGCTGATGAGTTAGCACAAAGCAGTGCTACTGCGACTCCCCAGAAAATTGATGACACAGCACCACATGCTGAAGGTGCTGAAATTTGGGAAAAGATTGATGAGAGGCTGAAGAAAATAGAGAAAGACCAACTGGACACAAGAGATCTTGTGATGAACAAATTGAAAGAAATGGACAGTTTCATCTTAGGCCAGTTGGGATTCCTCAATTATGCACCTTAAGCCTCTGATGCAGAAATACTGATGCAGCAAGGAAGTGATAATGAAGAAGAAGAAGAAGAAATGGAAGAGGAGGTTGAGCAAAAAGACGAAAACATGGAAGACAACCCCTCAGACCAAGAAGAGCAAGATGAAGACTAGATCATAACTTGCAATAGTTTTGATTTAAAGGAAGAAAAAAAAAGAATATCTAGGTTGTATTGCTCTTTTAATTTCTTTTTGTAACCCCCCTGCATCACTTAGAAAATTAATGAAAAAGAGAAACATGTTATGCTAGTTAGTTAGATTTTAATTTCGGTAAATTTAAATTCCAGTTTTGTTTGAATAAAGAAGTTAGGTATATGTTACAGCATGAAAATAAGGAAAAGAGTTGGAGAAAACTCCTCAGTAAGGAGTAACAAGAAGTTAGAAATTAATGCTGCATCAACAAGGTGAAACAGATTGCATCCTTAGCTATGTTGTTATGATCCCTTTTTGCTGTAGCAGGATGGCAGTAGTTACGAATGAGTGAGAGTAATTGTTTTTCAACTTGAACTTGCAAAGCAATGAAGGCGTGAATTGGAGGCTGACATGATCAAAGCAGAAAAGAACTGGAGTCCTTGAACATGCAAGCACAAAGAATGAACTTGAAAGCAAAAGAAGCCGAAAGAGTTGATTGCGGATGAGGACTTAGGATCCAAGTTTGATGGATTTGAATCTTGCCATATGAGTAAGCCTTGAAGGCTATAAGGGTGAAATAAGCCGAGCTAAAGGAAGTACAAAAGCACAAGTGAAAAGAGAAAGCCCCTCACAAATAGAAAAATCAAAGTCAAAAAGACAAAAATAGAATAAGTGCCAATGCACATGAGCAAAGCTCACAAAATAAAAAGAGGGAGTCAAAGTCAAAAGAAAAGCAAGCAAGGTGGACACTCGTTCCTTCAATTCTCTACACATGGGTCTTAATTAAAGTTTGGCAAAGTATGGATACAACAACTAAGTCTTCTGATTCTTAGTTCGATACTCTCAAGTGGATTAAGCCAACAAGAAAGTTCTTCACACACACCTACTCAATACTCCAGAAGCAAGATGCCAAGAGAAGAAAAGCTGACAAAGATCCCAAAGTTGAAGTGTAAGCCAAGGTTGAAAGACAACTCTCACGTGTACATTGCTGTTGGAATGCTACATCAGAACTGCTCATCTCAGTAATAGTCATTGCTGCAATTATACCGCCAAATTTATGCAGATCAATCAATCAATTTCTTACTTGTTACTCGGGGACGAGCAACGTTTTGAGTTTGGAGTGTGATAACTCTCCCATATGAGAGTTAATTTGTTATTTTTATGATGAATTTGTTGCATAAACTCCATATAAGTTAGCCACTTTGCATGATATTTGAGTTAATTATTGTATATTTATGATTAAGTGCTTTGAGATGACTAAGTATGGAAAATAAGACAATATCCCTTGATTTTGCGTAAGAAAAGATGACTTGTTGAATGTTTGTCTTCGCAGGGAAAATTGACGTAGGGATGCTGTAGCAGAGAAGCTGACGAAGTAATGATATAGCAAGCGCTACAGCATGACAGCGTGGACAAAAGGGACAACCTAACTTTTGAATTTCAAAAGTTAGTTATTCTTCAACAATACACCAGCAAGCAAAGGAAGTTTCTGGAGATTTAGTTCAGAAATCATAAGGGTCAAAAGACAAATTAAAAGATTGAATCTTATCCAATCCCCAAAGAACAAGGACAACAACCTTGATTCGGTCAACAACATTGGCACAAGAAAACCAAGAAGATAAAGAATCTTATCCAATTAAGTGCTAACAATTCCGAAAATCCCAATGATCAAGGACGATTTCAAGGTTGGAGTCTTATCCCAAAATCCCAAAGAACAATGAGAACAAAACTCTTGTTCGGTCAACAACAATATTGGCACAAGATAATCAAGAAGATAAAGATCTTATCCAATCAAGTGTCAACAGCCCAAGAATTTAGGGATAAGATAAGGCTGCAGCAACCAGATTCAACAATCTCCACTCTTAACTCCTAAAGCCCAAAGCCTGACTATTTTTCCTATTTAAGAAGAGCTCCTCCACGAGAGAAAGACAGTTCGAAACACAGTTAGAGAGGTTGAAGGTTCAGAAGGTCAGAAACAAGGAGGAGAGTTTTAGAGGGAGATAGTGAGGTTCTTGGAAGAGGAAGAGCAGCGCTGAAGCAATGCTGAAGCAAGGCAGTGACGACGTCTTCCTACAGCAATTGTTTTCAACTTCTTTTCTGTTTTCCAATGAATTCTTTCTTTCTTTTCTCTGTTTTATTAAATTCCATTATGAGCTAAAATTGCTCCATAGGTTAGGTGATAAAGTACCTATGCTGTAACATTGAGATGTATGCCTAAACTTTGTTTATGTTAATGTTTAATTAGTTATTCAACGAGTTTGCTTAAATCTTATTCATGTGTGCATGTCGAGAGATACATATATGATATTGAGGAGTTTGGGGCCGAGAGGTTTCCAAATCCAGACCCTTGTTGAATTGTGTGGATTAATTAGGTTAATTTAACTTGATTAAGCTGTGGGTAGAGAGATCATTCACACCACATAGCCTAGAACTTGAACTTGAATAAATTCAGTGATTAGTTTGGCCATAGAGATGTGGGAATTAGTTGTTGGTTATATATGTTAGGTCGGCCAAAAACCCCAGCATACCTTAGTGTTCGGTTACTAGTTAAACATTGATATAGCATTGTTAAAGCATCATTTCAGTATTGCTGTATCATAGAAATTGATCCTGACCTATATCTCATCCATCATCTTAATACTTGTTATTTTAGTTTCTTATTATTAGTTGTCTTTTATTTTACAAAACCCACAATCATAAACAATCACTTTACTCACCTTCTTCACCTAAATAATTATTACTTGACATTTATCTCCGTGGGAACGATACTTGGACTCACACATCCCTTTATTACTTGTGACACGTGCACTTGCATATTTGTGTGAAAGATTTAAAATTAATTACATATTGCACAACACTAGTCAAAGTTGTTATTCGTCTTGTCAATTGTTGTAACTCCTTGATATTCCTTGGACTGGTCATTTCAAGAATTGCTTTACATTTGTCAGGATTTGCCTCTATTCCCCGATGTGTCAACATGAACCCCAAGAATTTCCCAATTGGGACTCCAAATGCGCATTTTGCTGGATTGAGTCGTAGCTTATATCTGCGCAATTGCTGAAACTTGCTCCAAATCATGTGGATGTTGTGAAATTGTCGTAGATTTAACAATCATGCCATCAATATAAACTTCCAACATATGACCAATTTGTTTACTGAACACCTTATTCATCTTACATTGATATGTCGCGCCTGCATTTTTAAGATCGAAAGGCATCATCTTGTCGAACGACGGATTTGTTGTTTACCTTTAAACTAGTATTATAACAACTCTGTGCTGCCTTCTAGTCTCCTCTAACAAAAATGATAGCATCAGAAGGGTTTCTGAATTTCATTAAAAGATGCAGCATGGATATGATTGCGCCCAGAACTTTAGTGGTTGGACATCCCAAAATCACATTATAAGCTTATGCGCAATCAATAACATAAAATCGTACCTTAGTGATTCGTCCAAGAGGCATAATCCCAAAATTTATCAATATTTCAATGGTACCCTTAGGTTGTACACACTTGCCAGAAAAACCAAGTAAGTTCGTACATCCAGGGAATAAATGGTGTTCTGGGATATTCATTTTGCGGAAAGCATCCCAAAAAATTATATCAGCAGAACTTCCATTATCAATCAAGATGTGTTTTACCTGGAGATTTTCCATGCAAGCTGAAATCACCAATGGATCATCATGGCCGGGAATGATATCGCCATAATCATCATTGTCAAAATTAATTGACTGACAATTTTGATGAGACATGGAATTCTGCCATTGGTTGTTAACTGTCATGGAAGCTTTAAGATTTCGCTTGTGCTGAGAGTTGGTGCTTGTTCCTCCAGCTGTTCCTCCAACAATGGTGGCTAACACTCCAGCGGCGTTATTAGGTAGTTACGGAAGTCTTTGGTGCACTGTCTGTTGGTCATGTTGTCTATCACGCAGTGGTGCTCCCTTTTATCTAGCAGTGCGCTCATAGTGTGCATTCCTGTCATTGTTAGATTTGGGCCAATTATAACCACCTCTCTCCTGATTCCTTCGTCTTTCAAGATTCCTTTCATTATCAGGACTTCTATCACGCCTCCTTTGTGCCTTATAATCTTTGCAGGTGAAAATAAATTCTTGAAGTTTCCCTGCTTTGATTAGTACTTCGATGGTGTTTTTTAAAATCGAAACATTCATCTGTAGTATGGCCAGTGTCATCATGGAATTCACAAAATTTAGTTTCATCATGTCTTCCATTCTTTTTTAGCGGTGGAGGTTTCGAAACACGAACATAACCAGCTTGAAATACTTCTTTAAGGATTCTCCTACGCGATGTATTCAAAGGAGTATAATTGTCAAATTTTTCCCACTTTCTTTTCTCTTGAAAACGAATTTGACAATCTTTATGGAAATCTTTTTCAAAGTTATGAACTTCTGGTTTTATTCTAGGGATATCACGAGAACGCTTATAATCTTCCAAATTGATAAATTTTTCAGATCGCGCTCTGAGGTCCTCAATAGTTCGTGGATGATATTTTACTAACGACATAAAGAATGAACCTTCCAATAATCCTTCAATGATAAGATGTAAAGAGACTTGTGGGTCCAAATCTTTCACCAAAAGCGCTTTATCAAAAAACCTATTGAGGTAATCGCGCAAAGTTTCACGCGTACCTTGTCTAACCGTTTTTAAGGCATGAGTTGATTTGTACTGCGTTTTTCTAGTAGGAAACCGTATAAGGAATTGGCTAGCAAGATCTCCCCAGCTTTCAATTGAATTGGTGGGCAAAAGAGAATACCATCTGAGCGCAATTTCTTTTAACGTTGTTGGAAACAGTCGACATGCCACTGAGTTGACAACGTCTTGGGCCATCATATTAGTTTGAAACTGCTCCAGATGTTCTTGTGGGTCTCCCTTTCCATTATATTTTTCCGTTGTAATTTTCACATCCCTAGGGATTGGTGTATTCATGACCTGAGATGTAAAAGGATACAAAACTCGAGAAACTACTT